TGTCAGCCATGTTGATGAGTCACGGCCATTGCTTGGCCAAATGTGCTCTCTGTGAAATCCTGAGAGAATGTTTTCTCTCCATGTGACTCTCCTTAGGCACACTGTACATCATCGATCACCTTCCTCTTTGGTCCCATAATCTCCTTGATTAAACATTTTGGTAGTAAAAAGCTGTTTAAGGGGCCGGGGATATGGCTCGGTAGAATAAGCACTTGCCTGGCAAGCACAAGGGCCTGAGTTCAAAACCCCAGTTCCACCAAAAAAAAAAAAAAAAAAAGTTGTTTAAAAATGAAAATGTCGGGGCCGGGGAGATGGCTCAGTGGAATAAGTGCTTCCCTGGCAAGCACACGAACCTGAATTCAATCCCTGGTTCCACCAAAAAAGAAAATGTCCATTGGCTCATGTGTAGAGAGGAAAAGTCTACAAAGGATGGTCTAGATGTTGGCTATCCCTCCAGAAAGACATTTAAGGAATGCCACCCTTCAGGTTGGGACTATGGATGGAATATCTTTCTGTTTAAAGGGAAGAAAAGCAGGAAAGGGGCCTAAGTGTAGTTTTCTGAAGGCTTATTCAAATTCCTATCTGATGAATTCCTTTTCCTTTGTGAATAGTAAGTCCAGGACAGCAACTGAGCAAGTGAAGATAACCTCATTTTGAGGAAAGTGCAGGTGGATTAAAATCTTTGTGTAGAGGAGCCTAAGATTCATGAACTTTGTTCACTGAGAGTAGGCACAGGGTGATTGTTTGTGGAATATGTGGCTTATTTCAGCTACTGCTAGTGCTGATTGTGAATTTAGTCAACTTTACGAGACTTGGGCCAGTAGTGTGATCAGTCACTTACTGGAAGATGTTTGTGGAAAGGTAAGACAGCATTGCTACCAAATAGAAAGGACTGAAGGAAACAAACACATGTCTGGACCTGAGCTTCTCCTCACATGTTGGTTGGTTGCTTGGGAAAAAATAAATAGGGGGAAATACAGAGGGATCTATGTGGACAGATAAATAAATGCAGAAAGGGTGACGGAGTTGAAACATGACAGGCTGCATGCAGGAAGGATGGGAGGAGGTGTGTGACCCCAGAGGTAGAGGTGTCCCAGTGATGACACTCTAGGATGTGGCAGTGTGTGAACTAGAATGGCAGGAAAAAAGCCCAAAGGTGGGACCACTGAAGAATATAGAGGCCAGATTATTGGCAACTCTGTCATCATAGTTGCTGGGTCCTTCCACAGTTCCTCACATCTGCTTCTTGCTCATGGACTCTCTCATGTATTGTCTTTTCCAGAATCCCAGAAAGTCTGCTTTCTAACTACACTGCCAAGCTTAAGGTACTGCAAAGTCAATGGCATGAATCTGGAGAACAGTGATGGTACAAGGAGGCGGCTCTCGTGGACATATACTTTTGTTTTTATTTTGATACCCAACATTCAGTATTTTGTGGAAAAACTATCTCAAGAACCTTCTGGGAGATTCAAACCATTGCTTAGTCCCTGTATGTACAAAGAGAGGTCCTGTTGTGGTTTAGATCTAAAATTACCCCCCAAACCCTCATATGTTTATAAGGTGATTTGACCACAGAATACTATGTTCATTGGTAGATTCATGGGCTCAGTAGCTGAAGGTACTTTCAGGAGGTGGGGTCTGGTTGGATGTGAGCCATGACCTGGAAAGTATGTTTTTTGTCCCTTCTCGTGCAGCTTCCTGGCTGCCATGGGCTGAGCAACTTCGCTCTGCCATGCCCTTCTACCACCCATTTTATGTATTTAATTATTTTTTTCTGAATTTTAGACAAGGGTCTATAGGGTGTTTAGGGTCTTACCACTAGATCAGACTCATAGTGATTCTCCTATTTACAGCCTCCCAAGTGCTGGGATTACAGGTGTGTGCCACCACACCCAGTCTCAATAGCTGTCTCAGTGTGCCACAGGGGTGTGGCTGGCATAGCAGGCCCAGGGATTGAACCCCCAGCTTCTGCACCTGCTTACAGGTGCTTTAATCTGCTGAGCTATTTGGCTGGCCCCCACCATCCATTTTGACTGTGGAGCAAGCCAGCTTTAGAATGAACCCAATGAACAACCTGAGCCAAATAAGTTTCCCCTCCTTTAGCTTGTGGGTGTCAGATATTATTCCAGCAATGGAAAAGAGACTAATATAATTGCCTTCCATAAAGACCACAGTTGGGGGGTCAGGGAGATGGTTCAGTGGAATAAGCGCTTCCCTGGCAAGCATAAGGGCCTGAGTTCAACCCTGGTTCTGGAAAAAAAAAAAAAAAAAAAAAAAAAAAAAAAAACCACAACACAGTTTCTACAGTAGATGTGTGCAAAGTCTTGGCCAGACAGTGGTTGGCATAGGCCATGTGGAGAAGTAGCAGGGCAGTACAGGGCCGTGAAATATGGATGATGGGACACACACTTCTGCTTCTCAGCAGGATCATTCTTTCCCTCTCCGTGTTTTCTTGTTTTCCTATCCACTTTAGGACATCTTTTTCTTACTCTCAGGTTTATTTTACCTTGAGAGTAAAATATTGCCTCCACTGACACTGGGTGAAACTGTCAGCCCATGCAACCAAAAGAAACAATCAGGGTAGAAAAACCACTTTCTTTAGGTGATTTTCTAGTGGGTAAATCTCAATGGCAAGGTGAAACAAAGTATGTTTATGAAACATGAGCACACACCTCACAGGAGCTTCTGCAGAGCATCTACATGGCTGTGAGACCCAAACAACCCCCAACAGGAAAATCCCCCAAACACTGAGCAAGATCACCCTCCTGTATTAGCTCTGGTCATTGGCAAATGTCTCTGAAAATACATAATCCACTTTATTCTCAAAACCTTACCTGTCTCAGACCCTGTTTTCCTCACCACAGTGAATGAAGAGGAAGGTGCGGATGGCCACACATCATAGACATTAAGCCAGGGGTAGGAAGTGTTGCCACTTCCTCACACTTCAGGGGCAGCAGGTTCTTCTGGGTACATATGATGCCTATTCATCAAGAGTTCCAGGAACTTAGCCAGGGTTTATAGAAACCAAAGGGGCAACTGGGGGCACCATACTTATCCCTTACTACCCTAAGCTCCACCCTAAGTCACCTGAAACCTGTGCCCTCCACATAGTATATGCAAAGATATCACTTTATTAGGATATTTATTTATTGGGGACTATTCATATTTTCAACACAAAATGAATTATTTTGGGGGAATAAAATGTCCTTCCTGCGAATTCTAGTGAAGGACTTTTTCAAATCTTGTGGCAGTTTTCTGGTCTTTGGTGTTCTGGATTAACCCAGTTCTCCCTCTACCTGGGCCCCTCCTCTGTACTGAGGATTCAGAGGAGCTGCTCTCGATGGGGCTTTCTTGGCCTGTGTGCTTCACACTAGGAAAAATCCATTGGAAAAAATGTTTCATCTTATCTCTGAAGAGCTCTTCAGGATGGGGCTGTCCTCTTGGTGACACAGGTGGGGAGAACTTGCCCCCACGAGCCTTTTCTAGCACCCGGTCTTGGTCAGGGCAACTTCTGCGGTGGTATATGTCCATTCCGGCATCCCCTCCACCAAAGTCTCGTGCTTTGAGTATCAAAGGACACTCTCGCTCAGCTTCTGGAGAAAATTTCTGGTCTTGATGCTTGTGTAAGACTTGCTTAGGGACCCAGGGCTTGTGCCTCTGCTCCAGGTGGGATGTTGTAATGTCCAAGCAGGCATGCATCACCCGGGAAGCCACCACATTCCCACGGGAGGCACTGTGGTCATGATGGAATAAGGTCCGGTTTTGCAAGTTCTTGGAGGCAGGGAATGCATTCGCAGGAAGGCCCTGAGGCTGGCTCTTCTTCCTGCTCTCTATTTTAAACCTCAGCTCATTAAGCAGCTGATTTTTAAGTTTTGATGATTTCACATCTTGGGGAACGGCTGTTCTTGGTAGAGGCCTTTTAGTGATCAGGGGAGTTTCTGTCTTACTTGTCTTCACAGCTTTCCTCAGATTGGCCCCTGATTTGCTAGTTATTGAGATGTTACTTGTCTGTGACTGAAGAAACTTGAGCTTCTTTGCGTTAAAAGTGTCCCTGGACTCGTCACACATGGGCAGATACTCTAACTGCATTGTTACATGGCTCTGAAGCCTCTCTTTGGCACTACAGGAACTGATTCTCATGTCACTCACATCAGATGCTGCCCCTGCCTGCCCTATTGGTGGCTCTGGGTGGCATCTCTTGTCTTGTAGGGTCTGCTTCTGGTCCACCATGTCTGTGCTGCTGTGCCGGGGGAGCATAGAGACCTGTGGGCCATCCTCCCCTGTCTGCATGTTCTCTGCCAGCTTATGGTCAGTGTAAGTCTGGGGTGACTGCCTCCTGGTCCCCAGTCCTGCCATGCCCACTTGTGAGGTAGCAGGGTGAGGAAGACCCACATCCAAATTTGTTTCCACTTCGTGTGCTTCAGAAGCATGAGAGCTTCTTCTAAGGGTCTTACAGACCCCCATCTTAGAATTCAAGTCAGAAAGGCAGGTGCCTGATGAGGGAGATTCAGAATGAGAAAGAGCCGGGTACCGGTCCTCCTTTATGTTGGAGATTTCTATGGATTCCTGGACTTTGTGGGGAAGGCCCCACATCATTCTCCTACGAAAAGTTGTAATATGCTCTTCCATCATCTGTTGTTTGCTGGAACTAAGGAAGGAAATATCTTGGGAGGTGTCCAGATGGCTACCCTTACTCAGCAGTGGTGCTTCACCTCTGCCCTTTATGTGACTGGAGGATTTCTGAGGTAAGGGAAGTGTCAGGTTGACGGAATGCCATGATTTATTCACAGCATCAGGGATCTGGCCCTCATGGATTTCCTCAAACTTCTTACTTAAGTGTACTTTCAGGGTTTTCTCAAGCTGTTTCTGGTTTACCCTCATACTCGAGACCCCTGAGTTTTTCTCTGCTTGACTTTCCAGGGCTTTCTCTGAGTAAGAGCCCTGAGCATCATGTGTGATCGTGTCCTGGGCACTCAGATTTTGGGGGCCACTCACTAGACTGTGACCCTGGTTCTTCCCCACTGCCTCCTCTAAAGGTAGCGTTTCTGAGTTTGTCTCATGCATGGTTTCAAACTGACTCAAGTCCTTGCTGCTCTGACCCTTATACAAAGAGATCCAGGAGAGCCCATAACTTTCCTTTGTCACAGAGGCCTGAGGGACCACACTCCGTGGCTGCATCATTGACAGTGATTCAAGAACTCTTCGGGGCAGGCCCCAGCGGTGCTGAACAAGCCTCTTACGAAGGTGGTGCTCTAGCTTCTTCCGCAGCTCACTGCTGCAGGGGAAGTCTCCAGGCAGGATGGAAACTGGCATATGAGCCTTGGAGGCCTGGCTGATCAGGGAAAGCTTGGGAGCCGGAGGACAGAAGTCCTCCCGAGATCTTCGGACCACAGAGGGTAAGCCCCACACACTCTCCTGTACTTTCTGCAGTACGTTAACTTCCAGCTGTTCAATTTCAGCTGGTGTAAGGGATTGTATCTCACCCTGGGAACCGTGAAAATACACCCCACAGCTTCTAGGCTGGCATTCAGGAGAAGGTAGCAGGCATGGAGGTAGGGACAGACATTGGGCCTGGATCTTCACAGGAAGGGTATTGGGGGAGTGAGATTGGGGCAGAGTTTGAGGCAAGGGTTGAGGTTGTGTGTGGGGCAAAGGTGGAGGTGAAGGATGTGGTGGGTTTGGATATTCACAGGCTTTTGAGGTGCTGGAGATGGTATTAAAACAAATAAAGATTGAAGAACAATCACCTGAGGCAGGCACAATGGGGTTCAGTGACTCACTGTGTAGAGACGGAAGACCCCAGAAGAACTGTCTGTGTTTTTGTTCTAAATGATCCTCCAAGCTCTGAGCACCTAGGGGCTTCACTTGTGTGGGTAGCCCCTCTGGTTTACCTTCACTGCTCCAAATAGGAAGGGAACATGCAGAGTCCTGTTGACCAGCAGCTGACTCTGATCTTTTCTGTGAAATTTTCACTGGGGAATCTGGCTGATGTTGCCTTAGAAAAGATTCTGTTTGTTTTCCCTTTCCTTTCCCCAGCAGCAAATCACCTCTCTTTTTAATTTGCCTTTCCAGGAGGGCCCAGCTGTCAGGCCTAAGAATCTTAAGGTTTCCAGGCTCTACAAGGTAGATTTCCGTCTGTCCCTGAAGAGAGACTTCCATGGTATGAAGGTGGTTAGTGGAGAACCCACCAGGACTGTAACTAACTGGTGAAGTGCTTCTTGGTTGAAGACCAGGTTTTGCCTTCTGAGTGTGACATAGCAGGGAGCAGGGAGAGGCCAGTGACTCTGGTGGAAAACAGTCCACTGGGGATTTGGAATCTAAGGGAGAAGGATGCTCCACTTGCTGAAAGTCACCCAGCAGCACAGGTGATGGTGAGTCCACTAAACAGGTGATCAGGCTAGGTGAGAGAATAGAGGGTGGAGGTAGAGAAGGCTCGGGCGCATGGGCTGGGACTGAGTGTCCTGGCAGGACTGCTGAGCTGGTGTAGGTCTGTGTGCTGGATGAGTCAGAATCTGTGGAAGTCAAGTTGGTCACAGCATAAGCAGCATCTTCCAGGGGTGCCTGAGAGAGCATTCGACTGACCTTAGCTGTTGTGGTGTTACACACATCACAGAAGGGATCTGGACACAGCAGTTGTCGGAAGTGGGTTGTATCAGGAAGCTGGCCCAGGGGGCTGCAGGAGATAGAAAGTATGAGGTATAGCCAGGAACAGTAGTGCAAGGGAAGGAAGGCCTACTGTCCTGAGTGTGGGGGGCAGGAGACCTGACACTTCCACTTCCTTTATACTACCACACAGGCATAATGTCACAAAGCACAGCCCATGACATCACAGAGCACAACCCCATGATGTCACACAGTATTCCATAGCTTCTCTCCAAGCCTTCATGCACATATTTGTTGCTGTGGCAACCTTGACCAGCACCAACTCCATGGGAAGCATAGGACACATAGGGAAAGGAACTAGGAACTAGGAACTAGGCTGGGCACCTTTTCAGAAGTGAATGCAGCTTCCTCCCCTCCTGTCTTTCTCTCAGGCTTGCTCTCCAACCTGGAAAATCAGGAAACCATGTGACATCTAGTGAAGGTTGAACCATAGGGGTCTTATAGCAGTCCCTGCAGAAGAACAATTAGGGTGTTAAAGTAGGAAAGTCAAGTAATCAGTAGACAATGCCTAATGGCTGAAGATAGCACTGAGGATCCAGGTGTGCATGTGCTTCCTCCAATGTAATGCTTGAAATGCAATGTGAGGATGGAAGTCAGGTGCAACTTTACCTCAGCAGAGTGTGAGTGTGCAGGAAAAAAAGTGCTCCACACACTTCAGGAGATGGAAGGTGTGGCTCCTAAGCACCCCACAGTTGTTCCTGGAGGACTCACAGGACAGGCCTGTTTGGTAGCAGCTCCCATCGGCTGCCAAGTCTGTTACTGCATCATGTCCAGGTGAGCAGAGCAGGGCTCTGAGAGGTGTCTCAGGTCTCACACCTTCCTAGGCCTCTCCTCTGAGGCCTCTGTTACCTGACAGACCAGGTTTGACTACTACTATCTCCAGAGCTCGTGGACCTGGAACCCCATGGAAAGAACTGGATGGCTCATGCTTTTTTTCTTTTTTTTTCAGTTCATCTTTTAAATATTGTCCACTTTTATCCATTCTGGTTCCTTTTTTAAAAAATAAATTTATTGAGAAACAAATATCAATGAGACAGTTTCACAATCAATTACTGGCACATTTTCAATAATTAATACATTGCATATTGTTGTCTTAGTGGGTTATTCATTGTACAAGATGCAGACATGATATCCTGTCTCAAACACTATTATAACAAACCTCTCTATTCATTGAATGAAGAGAATGGAGCTATATATCTATCCTATTTTGAGTACACAGATACAAAAAGGTTGTTCATTTCTCTCCCATTTTTTTGGTTAGTTGTCAAAGATGGGCATTGCATTGTCATTTAAATATTGTACGTGCACAAATTCAGCAGAATCTGACAATATAGTCCAGTAGTCCATAATGGTAGTGGGTTTTCCATAAGGCTGGCAATGTCAGAAGTTGTTGACTTGAGCTTTTCACAGCTCAGCATATTAATGTGGCTTTACTTTTTATACTTCATTTTCATACTTTTCTGCTGGATGGTTAAGATCAAGATAAAGCAAGACCTATATAACAAGAAATGTAACTTTTGTATCTGATAAGGTCAGTTAAATTCCCTCAGGATTTACCCTGAAACCCTGTACCTCAGTTTGTAGGTCCTTTGTCAGTATCAGCCCTGTGGATAAGTCATGGCCATTGCTTGACCAATTTTCTCTCTGTAAAAGCCTGAGAGAAAGTTTTCTCTCCATGTGACTCTCCTTAGGAACAATCTACATCATAGATCACATTTCTCTGTAGCTCTATAATCTCCTTGATCAGAAAATTTGGGACATAACTGAGTTATATAATGTTACAGTATAGGTTCTTCTGTGTCGAGTCTTCACTGAACTTGAAAGGCTAGGGCCAAAATGTTGGCTGTCCTTGTAGACCTTTTTCTCTGGTTTTTGGTCTGCAAACTTAGGTTATTAACCCTCCAGAAGAGAGAAGCTTATTATTACCCTACAACATATGCAGTTGGGTTTAACCTATCTATCTGTCTGATCAAACATCTTAGGCATAACATGGAACAGGTATTTTCCATAAAGTATTGATATGTTAAACTTTAAGTCCCTGCAGAATATGAAGACAAAAATTTTTAAAATAAAAAATTGAAAAAATATAAACAATTACATAATTTTTCACATAAATTAAGAAATCTAACCATATACATCATTGTAGAGGAGTGTCCTGTGACTTTTTTTTCCTGTCTCTTATTTTCATTTATTGCCCTTTTTTTAAACAAATATTTACTTGAGAGACAGCCAAATCTTGGAAACAACCAAGATACCCATCACCTGAGGAATGGATGAAAAAGATGTGGTATGTTTATACAATGGAGTATTACTCAGCTATAAAGAATGATAAACTCAAAGCCTTCATATTTAAGTGGATGCCACTTGAAGAAATACTCATAAGTGAAATAAGCCAGACCCACATGTGTAAATATCATATAGTCTCCCTAGTATAAGAACTCAAAAGAAGAAATACAAATAGGTATAACACAATTAAAAGGAAAGTGACAACTTGAGGATTGGACAATGAGGAGAGGGCAAGGGGAAATGCCAGGAAACATGACAGGGGCAATGCCATACATTTATACACACAAGATGGGTAAGGCAAGGACCCTGAGAATCTGCAGCATGTTTTTGAAACTAGCAGTTAATTGGTAGGATTCTCACCCTGACTAACTATATATGCTGATACCTGTGAACTAAACAGCTGCACAGAAGATAGCAATGTGTAAAGGTAGGGTCGTGCTTGGAATGCCTGCCATTCTGGTCTTCTAAATACATACTGCTTGTCATGACATACCAATTACTGGCATACTATCTCTCAAGGAGGGCTCCTCCTGAAGGAGCCAAGGTCAGAGAAGAAGCATACCTTTAAGTGTTGTACTTCTCCTCCTTCTCCTGCTTCTGTGCTGTAGCTGAGAACCAAAAGAAAAGAATGAACTGGGACTCATTTATCTCATCCTCCCTAGTGGCTCAGATATTCTTTAATCATTTAAGTCTCTCATGTTAATTAAGAGTCCTAAAATTATTTGACTCTTTTTACTCATTTGTTCATTTTACTGATTTTTAAAAATGATCAGTTATTTTCTGTTTTTCTATCTTTGAAAAACTTTAGGGGCAGCAAGATAGCTAAGTGGACTAAGCACCTGCTTAAGCAAGCACTAGTTCTAGGGTTTAATTCCCAGCACTACATGCCTCACCAGCTCTGCCCCCAGCTGCACTGAGCTGGCCACCAAGACTGGGCATGGTGGTGCACGTCTGTAATCCCAGCACTGGGGAGACTGAAAACAGGAGAATCATGAGTCTAAGCTGCATAGTGAGTCCCTGTACCAGATACATAAATAAAAAAAGAAAATGTAAGGAGGAGGTATCTTTGAAAAACTCAAAGGAGGATTTTGTCTGAGAGATCAACACTTGATTTCTCAGTCAGAATCCTCTGTTCCTGGAGGGAATAGCAACTAAGATAAGCATGCTCCTTGAGAGGAACCTTGTGTCCTGGGGAGAGATCTCAGGATCTAGGCTCCATTCAGAGGCGCTCCAAAGTCAGTGTTGCTCTCCTGATCAACCCCGTAAAAAGCCAAGCTTGTGGAAGGAGCTGGGACAAGGGAGTGGGACTGACAGTCAAGCACTGGGACAGACTGTTCTGCTGCAGAGAACGCATAATCTGTAACTGAGCCAATCAGGACCAGGGAATCATTGCTGGGGATCTTAGCCTGGAACCCTCTGCCACTCCCAGAGAGGTAGTGTGTGAGGTCTGGAAGGAAACATTAGTCCTCCCGCCTCTGCTCCCCCGGCCTGGCCTCTTCTGCTATTGAGAGCTCTCTGTCTTCTCAGACTTCTCACCTCAGTTATCTCCTGAGTCAACAGAACTCACGAATGGGAGGAAAAGAATGGGGAACAACAGCAAGGAATATCCCGGGGACTGAACTGTGCTTCCTTACCTTTGGGATATCACTTCTGTCCCAGAAGGTTGGTAAAAATGGTTTCAGCCACAGATAACAGAGGAGCAGGAGCAGCAACACCGCAGCATTCAGAAGGGTGCCGCTGGGGTCTAGAGCTAAGAGCGATGAGCCACAGCTCAGCCATGGCTCCATATAGCTATTCAAGAACGTGCAGCACTCTCTCCATTGTATGAATAGCAAGGCTGCCTGAGGCGCTGAGTTCTGGGGGTACAGGAGCTTGACTATACACCCTTGCCTGCATCACAGAGCATGGGAGTGTCACAATGGGGGTCTGAGTGTGGGGAAGGGAACACCCAAGAAGAGGGAGCTCGCTGCCCCTCCTCCACCCGCCAGCGCAGCAGACCCTGCCTGCCCCATTCTTCCATTTGTCAGCTTTGATAGTCCCTCAAATCATGTGCATGCTTACCTCTGGGAAGTGTTCTTTTTGTTCCATCTGTGACTCAGTTTTTACCTGAGTTCCCCTTTACGTTTTTGATATGGGAAAATGTAACTCCCAATCTGTTCAGATGTCAGATGTACCAAATTCATGGTTACATAGCACCAGGGAATGAAGTCATGAAGGAAAGGAGGAATTTAGGAGAGTTTACTGGAAATAAGGAGGAGAAAAATCACTCCTGGATTACAGGGGGTAAGGAAGGGACCGGGGCCTCATTCAGGCCCATTGGGGGTAATTTACAGTGTGGCAGAATTTTCAAGAAACTGGAGACACCAGGAGAGATTTTAAGGAGGATTTTAATGGTGCATCATCCCAGCTACTAGATATGTTCAACCTAGGCTGGGGAGAGGTCCTATTTTATGCAATTTGTGATATCAAGCAAGTAGAGATACATAAAGTGAAACAAAGTCAGTCAGTTATCCTAGCAGCGAACCCTATCTTGGCCTTAAAAGAAAACACATCCTTTGTTATGGTTTGTGTCTAGTTGTCCCCCCAAAGCCTCATGCATTCATGGGGCAGGGACTTCTAGAGTTTGTGATTAACTCGTGATCCAATAGAATTATGGGTGAGCCAAGCCTGGGATTATGGATCTTAGTACTGCTGGGATTATAGGTGTAAGTATTTCCCACAGGTATTTGTCCCAGCAATGAGAAAAGAGTAACTGAGACAGAATTTCAGGATGTTAGGATGCTGCAGAGCTTGTTTATAGCCCCAATTTTTAGCTTTATGGGTATTGGTTCCAGGCCCTCTAAAGGAGCAGGTTCCCATGACAGAACTGCCTGAAGTGTTTCACTTATCAGTGAGGAAAGCACAGGACCTGGTGAGAAAGTGAAAGCCCACATTCCTGATAGGAGGGGGGTAGGGTTGCCCAAGAAGTTGCTCTCCAGAGCTGGGAAGATTTTACTAAGAAAACGGCTAGGTTTCCAAGTTCTGCTTTAAAACAGCAATATTGCAATGTGGGTACAACATGGGTCAAAGGACAATCAACCTACAAGATTACAAGTATAGTCACTTAGCTAATATTGATCCACTAGAAAAGTGAGACACATAGTAAGGGTACAGTACCTGGAATGAACACAAGTATTTCAAAAAAGGGCTGGTTCCAGATGCTCTGGTCACCCACCTGGGCACCTAATGCCTGTCTGGGCTCACTGGACCAGATGGTGCTAATTACAGTACAATCTCAAGCTGTTCTTTATCTCTAGGCGGGCTTGCATGCAACTTCCTCAAGAGCCAGATCTCTCTCTCTCTCTCTCTCTCTCTCTCTCTCTCTCTCTCTCTCTC